GGAACATAGAACACGTCATTTGATTTTTGACAAGAACATATACCAAGGCAATAAACTACATGCTGCTTTCATTATAAACCTTTTATATAGACTCCACGTATCTGCCACTCAAAAACTACTGCAACAGACAAAACAGTTATAGCATAGTTAACATCCTAGAAAAATGAAAAATAATTATACAACAGTTGCCTTTGGAAAAAAGAAAAACTTTTACAGCCTAGTTAAAAATGATGGGTCAAGTTCAAGGACCCAACCCACGACGTGTGCCCAGTTTAAATCAAGAGTCCAACTTAAAGAGATTCAATAAAGTCCAGTCCAAAAGGGTTCACGCCCGTCAAGCTCATCAGAGTTCGAGGAGCTACATCTCCAAGAGAGTAAGTATGGTCATCTAAGAGCCTCATCCACACCGCCTTAGAAAGAGTCAACCCCCACATCATCTTTTAACCGAATCTTATGGAGAGCTCCGTAACTATCTCATCCGTCGAGAAGAGTGTAGCTCCACCAGATTAGCCACTTAATTACTAATAAGTCGCCTCAATCTGTTAGGAGGCGACTATAAATTATAAGCCCCGCCAACATATGGGGGGAAACACACTCAATCGAGCACATCTGCTAATCTCCCTTGTCTCTTATAGCTTGTATCTCCCTACTCTCACTACACACCTTGAAATAATAAAATATCCAGGCGACCCTAGCCCTTCAAAGTGGACGTAGATTACGTTGACTGAACCACTATAAATTCGTATCTCGTTTATCTTATTGTCTCTCTCAACTTCATTACTGCTTTAATTATCAGTTACTTGATAGGTGGTGTGCCAAACTAATTTATGCATCATCAGTTTGGCGCCATCTGTGGGAACGACAAAATTTTCACCTAAACACTTCCTTTGTTGAACTTATGGCGATTACTACCAGATCGATGAATCAACCTAAAGATAATCCACTACGAGAGGAGAATGTTGCTCCTCCACCAACCAATCTCGTCCCAAATGCACAGTAGATGCTGGAGACAATGTAGCAGCTCATGACCCAGAATTAATAGATCCTCCAGCTAATGCTTGCTGGAAAATAAGGAGGAGCACAACCTGGAGGAGCTCCATGCGCTGGGCATCAAGGAGCTCCCCATTTGGACCCCCCCTTGGGAGCCCCATATAGGGGAGCCCACCATGAGGGAGCTTCGCCTCCTCCTCCAGCTCCCTTTTCCCATGGTGGAGACCCTCATTTCCAAGAGGATCAGGGTAAGAATCAAAGTGTGGAGCATGAGAGCCATTTTCATGACAATTCCAAAAAAGCCCAAAATCACTAGGATGAAAAATTCAAAGAAGTATAGAATCAACTAACAGACGTCTTCAATGCAATGAAGGCACAATGACCAGAAACTGAGGAGTTACCTCACTCGTTTTAACGAGGAGGTCCTCCAAATTGAAGAGCCCAATAATAAAGTCAACACGACCGCCTTTCTGGGAGGCCTCTGTTTATCGAGTTTCTTCTTTTCAATAATGAAGCGACCACCAAAGAGTATGTCAGAACTATTGGCAAAAGGTCAAAAATATATGAATGTTGAGGATATCAACAGGTCTAGATGAGATGAGTCCTCGCCATCATCATCACCACATGTGCCCGACTCTAAAAAAAAAAAAGCCACAAAGGCACAAGCATTGACAGATTTTGTGGCTGAGCTCACACCACTTGAAGAGAGAAATTGTCAAGAAGACTCAGCACCAGGTGCCAAGGGCCCAGCAGTGCTCCTACCCAGGCGCTCAACTCCTCAGGCATTAGCTTAAGCACCTAGCTCCTTAGGATCCAAGCTGTGGACTCCCAGCTCCTTTGGCACCAAGCCCCAGACGCCAAGCACCTCAGGCGCCAGCCCTCAGAAGCAAGCTTCTCAGGTGACAGACCTCAAGGCGCCTAGTTCCTAAGCTCCTTCCTCATCTCTATCTATTAGAATGAGCCTCCAGCTTGGTGACCCTCTCATGGGCTACACTCTCATGCGGACAGCCTCACAGGCAAAATATCTCCAGCTTAGTGGCTATCTCACGGGTCGCCAAAGCTTGGCCTATCTCTATNGACAGCCTCACAGGCAAAATATCTCCAGCTTAGTGGCTATCTCACGGGTCGCCAAAGCTTGGCCTATCTCTATTCTACTCTTAAGCAGGCAGCCTATCTCTAGTTTAGCAGCATTCTCGCGGGTCGTCAAAAGCTTGGTCTATCTCTGCTTTGCTCTCAAGCGGGCAGCCTATCTCCAGCTTGGAGACTCTCTCACAGGTCACCAAAAGTTTGGCCTCTACTCTGCTCTCAAACAAGCAACATAAGCATTCAGCTTAGCGGCTCTCTCATGAGTCGCCAAAAGCTCAGTCTCAAAAGGTACAACTCTTTCATGATCAACCATTAAACCTCTACTCTCACGTGGGCAGCCTCACAGTCAACCTACCTCCAATTTAACGACTCTCTCACAGGTCATCAAAAAATTGATCTAAAAAGGTGTATCTCTCTCATGAGTAATCCTGAAACTCTATTTTTGCTCTCACGCAAGCAGCCTGCCTCTCTCTCCAAGTAATCATGTCATATATTTTGATGTTGAAATAACATTATTTTTTCCATCTCTAGGCACACTTNCATCCGTCGAGAAGAGTGTAGCTCCACCAGATTAGCCACTTAATTACTAATAAGTCACCTCAATCTGTTAGGAAGCGACTATAAATTATAAGCCCCGCCAACATATGGGGGGAAACACACTCAATCGAGCACATCTGCTAATCTCCCCNAGCCACTTAATTACTAATAAGTCACCTCAATCTGTTAGGAAGCGACTATAAATTATAAGCCCCGCCAACATATGGGGGGAAACACACTCAATCGAGCACATCTGCTAATCTCCCCTGTCTCTTATAGCTTGTATCTCCCTACTCTCACTACACACCTTGAAATAATAAAATATCCAGGCGACCCTAGCCCTTCAAAGTGGACGTAGGTTACGTTGACTGAACCACTATAAATTCGTATCTCGTTTATCTTATTGTCTCTCTCAACTTCATTACTGCTTTAATTATCAGTTACTTGATAGGTGGTGTGCCAAACTAATTTATGCATCATCAGTTTGGCGCCATCTGTGGGAACGACAAAATTTTCACCTAAACACTTCCTTTGTTGAACTTATGGCGATTACTACCAAATCGATGAATCGACCTAAAGATAATCCACTACGAGAGGAGAATGTTGCTCCTCCACCAACAAATGCACAGTAGATGCTGGAGACAATGTAGCAGCTCATGACCCAGAATTAATAGATCCTCCAGCTAATGCTTGCTGGAAAATAAGGAGGAGCACAACCTGGAGGAGCTCCATGCCCTGGGCCTCAAGGAGCTCCCCATTTGGACCCCCCTTGGGAGCCCCATATAGGGGAGTCCACCATGAGAGAGCTTCGCCTCCTCCTCCAGCTCCCTCTTCCCATGGTGGAGACCCTCATTTCCAAGAGGATCATGGTAAGAATCAAAGTGTGGAGCATGAGAGTCATTTTCATGACAATTCCAAAAAAGCCCAAAATCACTAGGATGAAAAATTCAAAGAAGTATAGAATCAACTAACAGACGTCTTCAATGCAATGAAGGCACAATGACCAGAAACTGAGGAGTTACCTCACTCGTTTTAACGAGGAGGTCCTCCAAATTGAAGAGCCCAATAATAAAGTTAACACGACCGCCTTTCTGGGAGGCCTCTGTTTATCGAGTTTCCTCTTTTCAGTAATGAAGCGACCACCAAAGAGTATGTCAGAACTATTGGCAAAAGGTCAAAAATATATGAATGTTGAGGATATCAACAGGTCTAGACGAGATGAGTCCTCGCCATCATCATCACCACCTGTGCCCGACTCTAAAAAAAAAAAAGCCACAAAGGCACAAGCATTGACAGATTTTGTGGCTGAGTTCACACCACTTGAAGAGAGAGATTGTCAAGAAGACTCAGCACCAGGTGCCAGGGGCCCAGCAGTGCTCCTACCCAGGCGCTCAGCTCCTCAGGTGCCCAGCTCCTCAGGCATTAGCTTAAGCACCTAGCTCCTTAGGATCCAAGCTGTGGACTCCCAGCTCCTTTGGCACCAAGCCCCAGACGCCAAGCACCTCAGGCGCCAGCCCTCAGAAGCAAGCTTCTCAGGTGACAGACCTCAAGGCGCCTAGTTCCTAAGCTCCTTCCTCATCTATATCTATTAGAATAAGCCTCCAGCTTGGTAACCCTCTCATGGGCTAACCCTTAAATTCTACCTCTACTCTCATGCGGACAGCCTCACATGCAAGATATCTCCAGCTTAGTGGCTATCTCACGGGTCGCCAAAGCTTGGCCTATCTCTATTCTACTCTTAAGCAGGCAGCCTATCTCTAGTTTAGCAGCATTCTCGCGGGTCGTCAAAAGCTTGGTCTATCTCTGCTTTGCTCTCAAGCGGGCAGCCTATCTCCAGCTTGGCGACTCTCTCACAGGTCACCAAAAGTTTGGCCTCTACTCTGCTCTCAAACAAGCAACATAAGCATTCAGCTTAGCGGCTCTCTCATGGGTCGCCAAAAGCTCAGTCTCAAAAGGTACAACTCTTTCATGATCAACCATTAAACCTCTACTCTCACGTGGGCAGCCTCACAGTCAACCTACCTCCAATTTAACGACTCTCTCACAGGTCATCAAAAAATTGATCTAAAAAGGTGTATCTCTCTAATGAGTAATCCTGAAACTCTATTTTTGCTCTCACGCAAGCAGCCTGCCTCTCTCTCCAAGTAATCATGTCATATATTTTGATGTTGAAATAACATTATTTTTTCCATCTCTAGGCACACTTTTTGAAACTTAGGCCCACTGCAACCCGTGGGACTACATTCATCCGGTACTACTTCCTCATTGCCACATCCCGCGCTTAACACCTAGCGCAAACAAGGCTTGTCTGCGCTCCCAACACTAAGGATCTGGCACCTACAATTGGGTACTAGCTTCCCTGCTCCAACATCCTGGCACTCTTTTAGATGCCTCGTTCCTAGCACCCAGAACCATAAGCGTATCTCCAATTGCGCCCAACACCATAGACGCCTCTCCAGCAAGGCCCAACACCATAGGCACCTTGCCCAAGAATGTCCCAGGCGCTCTGACCTCGATAGTGCCCATGGGGCTTGCTCGTCAATGCCATCAGTGCTTCCACCATGATGCTCGCCCGTGGGAGCGCGCCCATGATGTTCACCCAAGGGAGCTCTCCTATGATGCTTGCCCATGGAAGCTCGGAGTGCCTTTGATCCTCCTCGCAGAATAATGCCTATGGGAGCTTGCCCGTGATGCTCATCCAAGGGAGCTCACCCATGATGCTCGCCCATGGAAGCTCACCTGGAGTGCCTTCGATCCTCCTCGCAGACCAAATGCATCCTTAATGCCTCACCTCCATAATCTTCGCAGTTCAAATCGTCTCAGTTCCCAGCCTCCTCCACGACCACGGGGACCCTACCTGGCAAAAAGAATTTACATATCAAGAAGGAAAGGAACCGTCAGTCAAAAGGAGTCTCTAGAAAATCCAAGTGCAAGAAGAGTTGACATTGTTTTGACCGTAATTTTTCATCTATTTCTCTAAACGGAACCCATAATATATCAAATCGAAGCTTTCAATGAGCCCTACAAGACTCACCACCTTTGGCTATGATAGAAGTTGTTAAAAGCCCAAAAAAAATCCTAGAAACATACGTTTTGGCCTCACAAAGTTTTTCTAGTTGTGCATTCAGTCGAAATTCAAACTCAACCGAATGCCCTCTTCTACAAGTTCCATTGTGAGCCCGGTTTAAATCAAGAGCCCAATTTAAAGAGATCCAATAAAGTCCAACCCAAAGGGGTCCATGCCCGGTCAAGCTCATTAAGGGTTCGAGGAGCCACAAGTCAAAAGAAGTAAGCAGGATCATCCAAGAGCCTCATCCATGCCACCTTGGAAAGAGTCAACCCCAACGTCATCCTTTGACCAAATCTTATGGGGAGCTCTGTAACTACCTCATCTGTTGAGAAGAGGGTGCCAGCTCTACTAGATTAGTCACTTAGTTACTAATAAGTCACCTCAATCTGTTAGAAGACAACTATAAATTATAAGCCCGGCTAACACTTGGGGGGAAACGCACTCAATCAAGTGCATCTGCTACTATTCCCTGTCTCTCATAGCTTGTATCTCCCTGCTCTCACTACAAACCTTGAAGTAATAAAATACTTAGGCGACCCTAGCCCTTCAAAGTGCACGTAGGTCACATTGACTGAACTACTATAAATATTTTTCTCGTTTAGTTTATTGTCTCTCTCCACGCCATTAATGCATTAATTATTAGTCATTTGACAGGTGGTATGCAAAACTAATTTGTGCATCATCAAAATAATATAAAGAGCAATGTTATATGGATTTAATTTGTAGACCTAGGGGTTGCTTGATAACACCACTTAAAATTTAAAGTTGAATACTTTCACCACTTAATAAATTAAACTCGTTTGATAACCTAAAACTCATACTACTTAATATTTTAGGCACTTCTTAAAAATTCATTAAAATTTTATGTAGCAAGCCACCTACTTATTACTTAATGCTGAAAATGTTAGTCAATAAGGATTTTATCAATTTTTCATAATGGACAAATATACCCTCACCACCATTGTGTCATTGCCGCCGCCACCACCACCCCCACGATAATCACTACCGTCGCCACCACTACCATCACTACCATTGTGCCACCATCACCACCACCATCGTTGCCGCTACCACTACAATTGTGTCATCGTCATCACCATTACCACCACCATTGCTGCCACCACCATCACCACCACCACAGTCACCACCATTGTGTCATCATCAGTCACCACCACCACTACCATTGTGACACCGCTACGACCACCACCACTATTGCCACCACCACCATCACCACTATTGTGCTATCATCATTGCCACCACCACTACCACTGCCATTGCCACCACCACCATCGTCACTACTGCCACTACCATTATGTCGCCGCCACCACCACTATAGTATTGTTGCCACCACCACTATCATTATCATCATCACTGTCGTCACCACTATCATCGCCACCACCAATACTGTCGCCGCCATCACTATCACCAACGTCACTGCCACCATTACCACCACCATTGTGATGGTGATGATAGAAATAAGACAGTTGCAGAGAGATAGTTAAAGAGAAGGGTAAAATTAGAATAATAATAATTTTCAAACTTCAGCTCCTCATATTTGTCAAACAGTTTGATTAAATTTAATACTTAAATTTTAGCTGATACCAAATAGTCTATGAATTAAAAAATTTAGCATTCAATTTTCAGTGTTCAGCTTTCAATTTTATCAAACACCACCCAAATGAGGCATTGAATTAGTTGTGATTTTTAATATTAGATGGAGTCCATTGTCAATTGAATAGTTATATTGAATTAGATCTCTAGATTAATTCCTTAAATTAAGTTCAAATAGTATTTTTTTAAAATATAAATGATACTAAATGGCGGACTCGCTTTTTAATTCGACACCTTTTCCTCCTCTCACAACCATCATTTGGGAAATTTAAGTATTTTGTGAATTTGCAGGTTAATGGAAGTCATAGGGGATTAATATTATTTTTTTAAAAAACCATCATATGAGTGGTGCTTGGTTTGTAAATGAGTTAAAGAGTTATTATGTAAACAAACTGTTAAGTAATGATTGGATGAATGAAATTAAATAAATTAAAATTCTAAAAAATTAGGAAAGGATGAGAGAATGCTATTTAAGCATCCTTTTCTCTAATTTGATTTTTATATATTAATAGATAAATTAAAAATCTATTTGGACTTAATCCGCTAACTTAATTTATTGGTGTCATTGTATTGGTAGTAAACCACATCAAATATGGATAGTAAATTACATCAAATATTAGAACTTGTAGCTAATCCAAGAATAATAATTGATTAGGTCCACAAAATTGATTTAAATATCAATATAAAGTGTTGGACAAAATCTGGAAAATTAGATTTTGTGCCAAATTTGAACCAAATTTTGAGTGGGACTTGTTCTTCTTTTGAAGTTGAAATTCGTGGGTTCATGTTCTACTCCAGGAGGAGATCAATGCCATATTTTCACTTGCTCAAATTGAGTAAGAATGAGAAAATAGACTCCAAAAGTGACCCATGTGAATAAGGAAGTGTATTGGAACTCAAGTGTGGGAACACCAATCCCACATTGGTTGGGCAAGGAAAACTTGGTGAGTATACATACTCCAAGTTTGAGTCTATGGTTGGGCCCCAAGGGCTAGTACAATTTTTTGGATGGGGGAGGACCTACATGGGCTTGGGTTCAACCACACGCGTGCACATACTATTGCCACCACAGTGCTTTGGTGTAAGTGTGGGTGTTTTTATGGGTTCAATCTAAAATTATCTTCTTGCACAAAATTTTTTTGCCAAATTGGATCCAAAATTCTTAACCCATTTTGAATTTACTACTCATTGGTATTTTAAATTTTGCACGAAAAATTTGAATTCAAATTGTGTCCTAGTTTAAATTATAATTGGTATATGTTCATTAACAGACATAACACAATCTGGCTTGTTTCAATTCGCTCTGTCTATATAAACCCAAAATTATCTGCATTCAAGTAAATCATTTTAATTATTTTTTGTAGTTNCAATTCGCTCTGTCTATATAAACCCAAAATTATCTGCATTCAAATAAATCATTTTAATTATTTTTTGTCGTTCTAGATTGCATTGAGTGTCTACATTGGAGTTATTCATAATAGAGAATACACAACATAGTTTGGTTCACTGTGCAAACATATTGGAGTAATACTTATTTTTGTGTGAAGATCATTGTATCCTAGAAGGTGGAAGTCGAGATTTTCCATTAGCAGTAGTCTAAAACCCGAGAAAATTTAAATTTTATTATAAAGAGCAAAATGGTAATTAGCCGTTATGGTGCGGTTAAAAATTAAAATTTTGCTAAAAATAAGATGATGAAGCAGATCTCACCGTTGGATTCATCTCGTCAAATCTAGATGCCCAGTTAAATTTCTTTGAATTCTGAGACAGTCGGAATTTTTGCGTTTTACGGTGTGATTGGGCATCTCTCAACTAAAATAAATGCGATCAAATTTTTATGAAACTTGAGAAATAATTTAGTGTTAGTTCAAATAAGATATACTGAACTGAATATGGGACGATATTTAATTGATTCGGAAGAAAATTGAATCAGAAAAGGACAGGATGTGTGACACATTGTAAGCCATGCAATTAGAAAATATAAAAGGGAAAAAAAATCAGATTTTCCCTTTTTTGTTGCAAAAATTTTTGGATAGAGAGAGAGAAAAACCAAAACTTTTCCCACCTTCTACCTTCGATCTACGGTGATCCGACAATCAGATATCTTCGCGCCAAGAACAAAAGTTGTTTTACGTAACAAGAGCTATGCGTACATACCAAAGATCGTGAGTTTTGCCAAGATCTCAAGGATAGGATTTCCGGGATCGAGTTTTGAAATCTTGATTTGATATCATTGGGACGTCTTCTACACAAATATACGCAATAAGAGGTAGGATTCCTTTCCTAACTAGGTTTATTTCCAACCTAGGGTTGAAATATGAAAGGGGTAGAGTGTTAGATATGAAATCTCATGTATAACACATACCTAGAGTTGTTAGAATATGAAAATGGGTACAATAACATGTTTAAAACCAATTCTTGTATGAATTGGTATGATGAAATTGCTTGACTTTGAATTTCATGAAGAATGTGTTGTTCGGACATGTTATGTGTTTACACTTGTGCTTTGCAGGTGTTTGATAAAATGTATATGGTTGATGTTTGATAAAATGTATATGGTTGATGTTTGATAAAATGTATATGGTTGATGTTTGATAAAATGTATATGGTTGATTAAGTGTGTTATTTGTATTGAATATGCTATAACATACTTAGAGGTTTATGAAATGTTAGTGTATGCTTCATGATATATCGAAATTTGACGAATTGGAAACGAGTATGTTCATTATATGTTTTATGATATGATAAGCATGTGGTATGAATTGTAATTACACAAATGGTTGCCGAAAGACATGAAATGTAATTGTATGTTATATTTGCATATGCATGGGTAACATTGCATTCGTGGGCATTGATATGAGTGTGAGTATGTGTGCATGATTTTGATCAAATATCATCCTTGATGGGTTGATACAAGGACTCGAAAGGTTGGACTTAGGTTCGACTGAAACGCATAGGTTACATTGAAAATATGTATTGGGGTTAACAAG